GATTCAGTGAAATTCCTTCTGATGATCTTGCTACTTCCAATCCCAGGAAGTATTTCATGTTACCAAGATCCTTGATCTTAAAACCCTCCTTTAACTGAGTCTTAACCTTCTGTATGTCTTCCAAATTAGGTCCAGCCAACAACAAATCATCTACATAAACCACCACTACAACTGCAGAAGATCTAAATATAGAATAATCATCATATGACTGCTGAAAACCCAAACTCTTCAGAAAATCTGACAGTTTAATGAACCACTGTCGACTGGCCTGTTTCAAGCCATAAATGGACTTTTTAAGTTTTAGAACTATTCCTTGCATGTGACTTAGATGCCTAAGACCCTCAGGAACTTCCATATACACCTCCTCCTCTAAGTCACCATGCAAGTAGGCATTACTGACATCCATTTGATGGATATGCCATGATTTAGCTGTTGTAACTGCTAGTAACAGCTTCACAAAGTTCATCTTTGCAACTGGGGAAAAGGTGTCTAAGAAATCCACACCATAGGTTTGAGTAAACCCCTTGGCTACTAACCTTGCCCAGCGTTTTTCAATATCACCATCAGGGAGAAATTCGATCTTGAAAATCCATTTGGTGCCTACAACCTTCTTTCCTGGGGGCAAATCGACCACATCCCAGGTCTGATTTGCCTCCTTAGCACGTAGCTCAGTCTGTACAGCATCATCCCACCATTTATCTTTAACAGCTTGAGAGTAGTAAATAGGATCAGGGTTAAGAGAAATAGACAGTGTATAATGTCTATGAGCTGGTGGGAGAGAAGAATAGTTTTAGTGGTGTGAAAGAGGATAAAGAACTTGAGCATCATGTTGTCCAAAAGTGCCATATGTTAGAAAGGCAGTGTGGAAGTCTTGGAGATAGACAGGTAGTTGTGGTATTCTCCTTGATCTCCTCTGCGCCAGAGGTAAGGATGGTGGTGTAGGTGAAGAAGAAGAAGGAGAAGTGGAACTAGTTGGTGAAGGTGAAGGAGAGGAATGAGGTGTAAGAGGAGGATCAGGAAGGTCTGAGTCAGGACTCTCTGAATCAGAAGGGTAATAGTCTGAGTCAACTGTCTCAGCAACATAATTATTAGTAGACGAATAAGGTTCAGGGGAAAGAGGGTCAAAATTGGGGGTGGTAGGTGATGTAGAAGGGGGATTACTACTCTCAGCTTGCAGGAATGGGAAAGAAGTTTCAGAAAACTCCACATCTTTGCTGACAAAAACATCATGATTCTCCACATCATACAACTTAAATCCTTTAATGCCAAATGCATAGCCAATAAAAACACACTTTCTTGCTCTGGAAGCAAACTTCCTTTGTGTTCATCCAAAACCGTGGCATATGCCAAACATCCAAACACCTTAAATGAACTATAATCTGGTGGAATACCATATAAACATTCAAAGGGAGATCTGTTATCAAGGGTTGGAGTTGGAATTCTGTTGATCAAATATGCTGAGTGGAGAACCAAATGGCTCCAAAAACTGGTGGGAACTCCAGAGTGAAACTTTAAAGCCCTAGCCACATTCAACAAGTGTTGATGTTTTTTTTCTACTCTCCCATTCTGCTGAGATGTTCTCACACAACTCATTTCATGTATAATGCCATTCGACTGATAGAAAGACGGCATGTTGAATTCCTGTCCTTGATCTGACCTAATGACCTTAATACATTTGTTGAACTGGTTTTTAACCATAGCATGAAAGGATAACAACAACTCACGAGCTTCAGACTTGTTGCTCATTAGGAATAGCCAAGTACATCTACTAAAGTCATCAACCAAAGTCAAAAAAATATCGATAACCATCATGAGAAACCACATCAACTGGCCCCCATATGTCTACATGAATCATATCAAATGCTTCCTTAGCTATAGAACTACTTCTGCTGAAAGGTAACCTTTTCTGTTTTGACATATGACAAACATCACAATTACTAGAAACAGGTAAAACTACTTCATTGCATTGTTTGTTAATCTCTCTCAATCTTGGTAGGGACAGATGTCCTAATCTGGCATGCCAGAGGTCGGATTTGTGGTTGGTGTTCACTCCAAAAGTAGGATGGCTCGAAATCTCTCCAGGTGCTGATGTCTCCCCAAGCAAATACAGACCTCTATCTACGAGGATTAAACCAATCTTTTGATGAGATATGAGGTCCTGAATGCAACAAAAATTGGATTCAAACAACAGTGGGACAAGACTGTTTTTGGTCAACTGGCTAATGGAAATAAGGTTGTAACTAAAGGAAGGAACTAGTAGGACATTAGTGAGGAACAAACCACATTGCAATTTCACTATACCAATGTGGGTCACTATTGCTTCCTGTCCTATTGGAAGAGTCACAGACAGGTTTTGAACTTCCTTACATCGAAGAAAGGACTTAATAGAACATATGATATGGTCACTAGCCCCAGTATCTAGTACCCAAACAGCCTCTCGTTTTGTTTGTTTGAAAACATACAACACAGTCATACCTGTCATTGAAATATTCCTTGTAGTGATAGAATTAGCCATTGATGAATGAGATTGAGGTTGTGAAGCCTGCAACAAAGCCTTGAAGCGGTTCAACTCTTCATTAGTGAATCCTGAGAACTTGTTGGGACTCTCAGGGTTGTTGCTTGGACTCTCAGATGAAAAGGAAGAGCCTCCAATAGCTGTTTTCTCAGGTGTTGCAGTATCAACTGATCCAGCAAAGCTTCGACCTCCTCCTCCTCCTTCTTGGTTTTTCTTTTTAAGTTTCCAGCAGTCTTGGATAACATGGTTATCCTTCTTACAGTATCTGCAAAACAAGACACCACCTTCCTGCTGACCTTCCCTAGGACCCTTGTACTTGGATTGTCCATATTGGGGTCTATTAGCAGCAAGAGCTGTTGCAAGAGCTATAGTTTCTTCAGTCTTACCAATATTACTATTAGCTCCATTCAACTGTCTTTCAAGCTGTGACACTAATCTGTAAACGCTATCAAGATCCGACAAGGGCTCAATCATTAACATCTGAGTCTTAACCTGTTGGTATTTCTCATTCAGTCCCAACAGAAATTTCATCACTCTGCCCCTATCACGATACATAATTACTGTCTCATAGGTTCTTGAAGCACAATCACAATATGGAATAGGTAGATAGCTACTCTGTTCATCCCCCAACAGTTTCAGATCAGTTTAATATTGTCTGATAGTCTTGTTTCCTTGTTTCATCAAATCTATCTTATCAGTCAGATTCGCAATCCTCACATTATCGTCTTGGCTAAACTTTGACTTCAGATAAGTCCATGCTTCAGATGCTACTGTGATATTGCGCAGACTAGGCACAATATCTTCAGACACGGAATTGCGAATCCAACACACCACTGTTCCATTAACACGATCCCAAGTTCCATACATAGGATTGGTAAGAGCTGGTACCTGAATCGTTCCTAGGACAAAACCCAATTTGTTCTTGGTGCGCAGCGCGACTTCCATAGATTCACTCCATAGAAGGTAGTTTTCATCGTTGAGCTTGAATCCGATGACTGGTAAGAATGAGTTATCACTCTGAGCCAAGTAGAACAGATTGCTGTAAGGATCTTCATAGCGAGCTTTTGGGGTTTCAACATTTCCACTGTCAGATCCAGAACCATCATCCTTCGTCGACATGGCTGGAGAGACTGATTAAGCTTATAAGAATGTAGTGAGAATCAAAGTTGAGAAATGGGTGAGAATGAAGAAGAGGAAAGGGTATACAGAAGCCAACCAGGCTATGATACCATGAGAAAACTCTAAACCTAGCAGAGTAGCAGCTAGGGTTTCAAGGAGAAGAAGATAAGAAGAGACTCAAGCCATTGTGGGAATTGGCATCTTGCCCTTTCCTCTGTGGGATTTTTCAATATATAGCAAAGAAGGTAAAGGTGTTTATCTGTACATCAACGACTAAGTAACAGTAAACAACTTAAACTAACCAATAACTACTTGACAGGTGGCTATCGTTATTAACTAATTACAATCTCCTGTCAATAGCTGAAACGGCGTCGTCTTCTTGTGGAGTTGAATACCACTTAAACGACGTCGTGGTGATCCTTGTTGAGTACCGAGCTGAGTTAAAGGAAGCTCAGCTCAGCTGCTTCGTTCCATCCTTCTGCAGAGTCTTCAGTTCCTTCTATGATCATCACCATCATCTCTGCAGCAGTTCATTCATCAATCATCAATTTGATTCACACCGGATACAAATAGGCAGTCGATTAAACAAGAACAGAGAAAACTAGAAGTCAGCGTCTCAGGTTGTTGATATTTGGGGACGATGAGGTTAGACTTGTATTTTACCATCTATTGTGTTGACCATAATTTGGTTGAACCAAATTTTACAGTCATAGACGGCAAAACAGACGGAAGGGTGTGCTTGAGAAGCGTTTTATTGTATGAGGGTAAATTTTATGTGATTTATAGTAGAGTGGCATGTTTGAGAAAGATGCAAAGTAAAGGGGCATATTATACATATAACCCAAATTAGTAATGTCAAGTTTTGCTTGAAATTGGTTATTTAATCTCTTTATCTAGTCTTTGTTTTTTCTTCTAAACAATTGACTTTAGCTACTCATTCTTCATGGCATACTCTAAATATCTATCGACTTCTAGGTAACTCGTTTTATTCTTTACCTTATTCTTTTGTTTGATCCAATGATAACATTGTCTATTTTAAAGTTTGGGGTGAGATTGAGTAGAATGATTTCATATCCTTTATATTTTTACTTTAGTTGACAAATATTCTGGTATGATGTATGCACACAAATTTCCTTAGTTAAAAAGGGTAAATTGCAAGTTTGGTCACTGGGTTTACAAAAAAGTTCATGTTTGGTCACTAAAAATATTTAGTTCCATTCATGATCACTAAATTTAGTTCAATAATCCGAATTTGGTCACTCTCCGTCCAACTTCGTTAACTTTAGTTGTTATGGCGGTTAACTCTCATAGTTGACCGTTAAATAAGTGATGTGGCTATTAAAAAATAATAAAACTAATAAAATAAATAAAATTAAATATTTTACTATTTTCACATCATCTTCCCAATGAATTAAAACAAATAAAACATAAATAATAATTAAAATTACGAAATTGAGATTTAACCTACCGGCAAAATTTCCACCCACCCGTCCAGAACCTCCTCCCTCAGAAACCCTCACTGGGCGCAATACCTCCACTTAAGTCAAACTCTCTTAGAAACCCTGCCAGAACTCTTCTATACACTAATTCACCCTGTACCAAAACGAAAATCCCCACGAACCCATCCCTCCCTCCTCTCTTTCAATTCCAACAACCAAGAGGAGAGCGGCAAGGAGGAGGCCGGCGGGGTCGGCGGCGATGATGAATTGATGATGACGTCGAATTGCGAGGATTGGGGAGAAGATGTCGGGTCGTGCCACAAGAGGTTTGAGAATATGATGGGTCCCCGTACGAAGTCTGGTTTTAGGTCGTCGAAGGACCCGAACTTGCTGTTGCTCTGAATTCTGGTGCAGTGGGTTTTCGCGGCGGGTCTGGGAGAAGAGAAGAGAGGCATCGGATGTCACAAGACATTGGGGAGGTTTGGATTAGTGGGTGGATTATTGGGGAGGTTTGGATGGCGGAGATTTGAGAGAAGAGAGGCAGCGAATGTCACAAGAGGCGAAAGGTTTACGAGATGAAGAAGGTGGAACATTTGATTATAATAAGGTCGGAGAAATGGAGGAAGTGGACAGAGCTTAACTCTGCATTTGTCACTACCAGAAATTGTCATTTTGAAATTGGGAAAACCAAAGGGAAAAAGGGGAAACGGATAGTGAATGAATTAGTGTGTAGAGTTGAGGTCTTGGAGGGGTGAGATATAGTGAAGGAGAATTCTGGGGGGTTTCTGAGGGAGTTTGAGTTTTGGGAAGTGAAAGAATTGCGGTCGGCGGGTGTTTCTGAGGGATGAGGAGGTTCCGGGAGGTGTTATCCGGTGAGGATAGGGTTATATATCAATTTTGGTATAATAATAATTATTTGTGTTTTATTTATTTTAATTTATTATGAAAAATTATATGGAAATAGTAAAATATTAAATATTTTTTAATTTCCACATCACTCATTTAATGGTCAACTATGAGAGTTGACTGCGACATCAGCTAAAGTTAATGGATTTGGATGGAGAGTGACCAAACTCGGATTATTGAACTAATTTTAGTGACCGTGAATGAAATTAAATATTTTTAGTGACTAACATAAACCTTTTTTTGTAAACTTAGTGACCAAACTTGCAATTTACCCGTTAAAAAAAATTGTGTCGCACTCGTACATGCTTATGCAGCTCATTGATTTCAGTTTAGTTCTCTTGTGCACTTGTTGCCTAATAAGTTACTTAAGATCCACTACGTACCTACGATCAAAAGTCATGCATCATCATGATCTTCATATGAGTTTTATGATTTGGCAAAATAACCCATCATCAAGGGCATCCAAGCAAATTTGAATGAGTTTGGTCAAGAAAAATCCAACTGATATTACTTTTGGGTGGGTCTTCCTAAACCCGATAAAAGGGTAATGAGTTTGATGCAATTTTGGTATTTTAAGTATTCGCACCGAACCCACCCGAAGATGTGTTACAACTATGATTTGGACTACCTCGTTCAACACTTTGATCATGCATATCCATTAAGTACTATAATTCTCTTAGACAAAATCTTGCTCATTTTTCATCACTTTTATAAACAATGTATTGATAAAACTTAAAAGTAGCATCGACATTCTAAGAAAATATTCACCTTTTATCAGTAACTTTATATATGGTTTTCGGAGATGTTGCGAATGAGGTTTTCTCCAACTGCACATGGGCATGTTTTGGTTTGTCATTTTCCATCCCCGCCTACTTTTGATTTCACAGATGGTTATTATCTGAGACCCGTGGTCCGAAGATGGTATATAGGAAAACTGACTGCACGCGAACTCGTTGTCATCCCTATTTATGACACATTTTACATTATATTTATATATCTTTAGGATTTTTACTTGAATTTGTTTGATATATGCTCAAAGGTGCATTTCATAACCGTGCTTTTACACATTTGATGACTTTTAGGTAACTTTTTGATATTTTTAGGTCATGATATCTAAGAATGAGGACACGAAATGTGTGGGCTTATGACCCAAACAAGTGGAAAAGCGATATTGGTGGGTGGAAAGTACTGTTGGCGGCCCAACAGGGACACAAATCCGCCAAAATATGAGAAGTGCTCAAAACTGTTATAAAACTAATGGAAAATGTAAACAACTACAAGAGAAGATTAGAGAGGGAAAGACACAAGAGAAGTGAGGGAAATAGTTCTTCTTATTCATATTTCATTTGTGATACAATAGTGTGCTCTATTTATAGGCACCCTTTGGTAACCACTACATCCTTACATCAATGCATTTGAATTAGAGATAATAATATAGGAATGGTAGTTACATGTAACTCCCAAGTGAGCATCTAATATGGTAGGTCATTGGTCGTCCATATATAAATATTTACATAATACTCCCCCTTGGATGACCACTAGATTGCATTATTACGCTATCTCATGCTGCATCATTAAAAACCTTACCAAGGAAAACCCATTGGGAAAAACCATGGTTAAGGGAAAAAGAGTGCAGCACGTATATGTTCCCCCTCATGACCACATCAGCTCAGGTATTTGAGTCGTCGAACTCCAATTTCATGAACAAGCTTTACAAAGATTGTCGTCGGGAGTGACTTGGTGAATAAATCTGCTAGATTCTCATTTGAACGAACTTTTTGAACAATTATTTCACCACTCTTTCGAAGATCATGAGTGAAAAAGAACTTGGGTGGAATATGTTTTGTTCTATCTCCTCTAATATATCCTTCCTTTAATTGAGCAATGCATGCTTCATTATCTTCATACATGATCGTCGGGATCATTTTTCCTAGAGATAGTCCACACGATTCTCTGATGTGTCGAATTATAGATCTTAACCAAACACATTCACGACCTGCCTCGTGAATTGCTAGGATTTCAGCATGATTGGATGATGTGGCTGTTATAGTTTGTTTTGTGGATCGCCACGAAATGGTTGTACCACCACAAGTGAACAAATATCCTGTCTCAGATCTACCATTGTGGGGATCTGAGAGATATCTTGCATCTGCATATCCCACTAAATCCATCTACGATGCACTCGAATAGAACAAGCCCATATCCGTTGTTCCTCGAAGGTAACAGAGTAAATGTTTAACTCCATTCCAATGTCTTTTAGTGGGAGAAGAGCTATATCTTGCCAATATATTCACAGCAAACAATATATCGGGTCGTGTGTGACTGGCTAGATACATTAATGCTCCTATGGCACTAAGATATGGCACTATCACTTTCCCGAGGTCTAAATGGATCTCTTTTCACATCAAGTGATCTTACAATCATTGGATTACTCAACGGGTGTGATTTGTCCATATAAAATCGCTTAAGCACCTTTTCAACATATCCTTCTTGATGCACAAAAATACCATCATTCAAATGTTCAATCTGTAACCCAAGACAAAAATTTGTTCTTCTTAAATCTTTCATTTCAAACTCTTTCTTCAAGCAATCAACTGCTTTTGGAAGCTCTTCGGGAGTTCCAATGATATTTATGTCATCAACATAAACTGATATTGTAACAAACTCACTACCCGATCTCTTTAGAAAAACACATGGATAAATAGGGTCATTCTTGTATCCTTCTTTCATCAAATATTCACTGAGACGATTGTACCACATTCGTACAGATTGTTTCAATCCATACAAGGATTTGCTCAATTTGATAGAAAATTTTTCTCGAGAATGTGTTTTGTTTGCTTATGGCAAAGTGAATCCTTCGGGGAGTTTCATATATATATATATATATATATATATGGTTCAGGCTAGCGTACACCTGGTGTACGGTGTACTCCTGCGTTCACACCTATTAATTAATTATTAATTATTTTTAATTTAATTATAATTAAGGTAATTATTAATAATAAAAACAATTGCAATTATATCCCTTCATTAATGGTTGTTCACGGTTTAGTCCCATATAAATTTTATCTTACATTCTCCTCATATCAATCCCTTAACTAACAATCATATATATTATAGTACCTTTTTCCAAATTATAAACTTAAAACACCCAAACTTTATAATTATATACAACTTCACTGCTCCTGGCCTCCTGCCATTACAACTCTATCATCTTGTCGTTTTGTCCTCCTTTCCCTTATCTCTCCCCCAATTCATCGAGTCCACCACTGAACAAGAGAGAAACAGAACCAGCCAGCCACCCCTGTGCGCTCTCTCTCCCTCGTTCTCTTTTGCATTCAGCAGAGGCAAACAGTTTGATTCAACAACAAGAGGAGGAAGTAGACGAAGCTTAACAAGAAGATCCATTTCTTCTCTTTCGTCTTTCGATAGATAGATACAAACACACCCCTTCTCAAGTTAGACCCCAATCCTCCTCTGTAATTTTTAGGGTTTCTCTTCTCTCGAGTTTGAATCTCATCTGCAGCGTTCGATTGATCGATTGAGGCGGATGAACCGCAGTTCTCATGTTGTTACCTTATCTCCCCAAATCAGATCGATCTAAACCCTAAGAAAAGCCCCCTTTCTTGTTTTGCCTCTTGCATGGAGCATTAGACTACGCCCCTTTCTTGATTCCTCTGCTAATCTCCATCTCCCAGCCGATCAGAGCTCCATTCCACGAAAGTCACAATCTCACCGACACCAAGGAAGGCCCCTTTGTCCATAGTTCATGGGGCCAGGCGGAGAAGCTCAACGGTGTTGGCGGACTTGCTGGGTTGTTGTAGAGGACGATGAGAGGAGCCGATGTCTCTGTGGAGGACGTCGACGAGGTTGAGTAAGGAGGCCCAGATCCCATTTCGACGGCGAAGAAGAAGATGGTGACGGCGGAGAAGAATGGATACTGCGGCGGCGGGGACGAGGCACACATGCAAGAAGCTCGAGATTTACACCCCTGCGAGCGAACCAGTCTTCGTCAAGGGAACGTGGTTCGAGGGTCGCTTCGACCTCTCCATCACCGACGGCCTCCACTCTTGGGTCTGCCACGGTAAAACTATATCTCCCCTTACTTTTCTTGTTCGACTGATATCGACTCTCGTGTTTGAATCTCTCCATTTATACGGGGTTTCTTTTATCATCCTAACTCCTACTAAATCTGCAGGTTATAGAGGTGTGATTTGTGGGATGGATCCTGTTTGCTGTGAATCAAGTTCATGGATGGAAGCTGCACAGATTCAGAAGATGGATCGAGGTCCTAATCAGCCCTTTTACCAGGTTTTGCTTTCTGTTGCTGCTTTGTTCCAATTGCCGTTAACAATGGGAATACATGCATTTCACAGCTAATTTTTGAGCATTTCATCACAGCTTTTGAAATGGTGAGCTTAGTTGTTCCTGCCTCTTCTTGTTAGTTAGTACCTAGTGAATAATTCAGTTGCTGCAATGTCGCTGGTGGCCTGATTTTGGCTTGAAAGAAGCATAGGGAAGCATACAGAATGGTAGTAGTGATTGACCAACTTTCTCCCATTAGAGTTGAGACACACACTTGACTTGAGTTTAGTCGACAACACTTGGCTGCTTGTTGCTCTTAGCTCGTGGTATTGTTACAATTCATAAAGAGTTTCTCCATGCATTTGGTGTTGCTGCTTTTCTTTTGTTAAGAGTTACTTTTCCCCTATGAAATTGGCATGTTTGAATCGAAGCAAGTTTGTTATTCAATTGTTTGTAAGTTTTCACTTTTGGATTCTGGGTGTCATTGATTATGGGGAAATATGGACGGGTTCTGCATTCTTTTCCGCCCTGCTGCTATTAGAATCCGAATTCTGATCCCTCAGCTTTTAACCTCCGCTGCAAATCGTATGTAAACCTTAAGAATTTTTGTTACTTATTGTACTGTACTCGTCATGTTCTGGATTCCCTTGA